ACCTTTTAGTTTTTTTTAAATTAATTATAATAATCACTTATTGCGACGTGAGCAAAGTATTAGTAGTGGTTGTAGTTGTAGTTGTTTTTGTTGTGGGGGGTTTTTTCCCAATAACCGCACTTTAACCTTTTTTTTTAAAAAGGAAATGGGAAAAAGAGGGGGGTGGAAAATCTTTTTTCGTGGAATTAACAACGTTTTTTATTACAATTAAATATATTTGTAAATTAAACTTTTTGTAATTAATTTATTTGTTTATCAATTTTAAACTTTTAATTTTATTATTTTTAACGACGACGATTCGACTTTAATTATTATTATTGTTGTTGTTGTTGTTGTTCGTGCAAATACGTTTTCCTTTTTTTTTGTGGAAACTTTAAATTTCCCATTTTATCATTCATCATCATCATCATTATTATTATTAGTTTTATCGAAATAGAAAAAAAAAATCGATTTAATTTTTTGGAATTTCGGAAGGAAGGAGGGAGGAAGGTTTAGAGTGAGAATAAAAAAAGGAATGATGGTGGGAAAGCAAGAACAATTTTCGTGACGATGAGAAAATTTCGTGGAAATAATCAAACTTCGCATTCTGATAATAATAATAATAATATAAGAATTTTTTTTTAATGAAAAGTGATAAATGAAAATTGTCGACATAAATAAATTCATTTGAATTTTTGCTTTTTTTTTTTTTTCAAAATCGAAAAAAGAAAAATTGCAACAGGGAAAAAAAGAAAAAGAAATTTTCATTTTTGTTTTTGAAAAGAAGAAAAAGAAAAAGAAAAAGAGAAGAAAAAAGAAAAACAAATTATTACGAGGAAAAATGCTAAAGAAATATGACAGGGAAAAAGTGAAAAGAAAAAAAAAAGTGGCGCGTTTCGTGATTCAAATATTTCTTCTTTTTTTTTTTACATCAAACAAACAATGATTTCACATTCGCGCCATTTTTTTTTCAAAAAATTTTTTTTCTATTTCCTTTTTAAAAAAAAACTATTTTCCCCTCCCTTCTCCTCTCTTCCAACCCATCATTTTCTTTCACTTTTTTTTTTCCTTTTGGGAAATTCCCAAAAGTGTTTTTTTTTTTTTTTGGTTCAAGTGCCTCGTAAGAACATGCATTTACTGTAAAAAAAAAAAAAAAATTTCAACCGACAAATTTTGATTTATTTTTAATCTTGTGAGAATCCTTTTTCTTCCTTTTTTATTCCTCTTTCGATTATTGAATTTTTTATAATAATAATAATAATAATAATAATAATAATAATAATAATAATAATTTTTTTTTCTTATTCAAAATGTCGGATATTTTATTTTAAAAAATAAATTTCACATTTATTATTATTATTATTATTATTATTATTATTATTATTATTAACGTTCAAATTTCATCATAAAAAATATCAAATATATATATGTGAAAATTATCAGTGGAAGAAAAAAATTCAAAAAATTTGGCAGGGAAAAAGAAGGAATTTTTTTTTGGCGGGAAAATTTTTTTTTTAAATTTTTCCAAAAAAAATTTATCAAGGACGTGACACGATGATGATGATGATGGTTTTCGTGAAAAAAAATTTCTTTTTGTTATTTTAAACGTAATTAAATTGATTTGTTGTTATAGAGAAAATTTCTTTTTTTTTCGGGGGGAAATTTCTAGAAAAATTTTTTTTTAAAAAAATTCCCACGCGTTGGATTTTATCCAAAATTTAAAAAATTATTATTATTATTATTATTATTATTATAGTACTAGTGGCTGTAAAAAATTTTTTTTTTCTCTATTATTGAGTTTTCGTCAAAAAAAAAAAAAAATTTTGTTTTTTTTATAAATTTCTAAATCATTAATTTCGATTTAAAAAAAAAGAGAGAGAGAATGAGAAAGAGAGAGAGAGTGAGAGAGAGAGAGAGAGAGAGAGAAAACAATTTGATAAAAGTGGAAACGATTAATTTTGACGCAAAGTTAATTTTTCTTTCTTTTTTTTTTTTTTTGGAAAAAGGATTTTTTTTCTCTCTCTCTCCCCAGTTTTTTTTTTTTTTTAAATCTCTAAGATGAATATACAATATATATATTTTTTTTTATTAAAAACATTCAATTTCATGCATTCTTTTTCTTTTACAAAAAAAAAAGAGATAGATAGATAGAAGAAGAAAAAGAAGAAGAAGGGAAGATGAAAAAAAAAAGTTGGCGCCCCAATTCTTAAAAAAAAAAAATTTATTTTTTTTATTTTTTTTTTTTTTCATATTCAAAAAGGGAAAATTCAGTACTTTTTTTCTCCTTTTTTCTCTTTTCTCTTTCTTTTCTCCAGGGTTTTTTTTTTTTTTTGAAACAAATAAATAAAACGATAATGATGATGATGATGATAATAAATATAATTGAACAGTCGCGACGCTACATAAATCGATTAGTTTTTTTCTTTTTTAAGTTTTTTTTTTTTTTTTTTTTTTTTTGGCAATTGTCAAGGATAAACATAACAATTAAAAAAAACTAACGAAATGTTTTAACAAAAAAAAAAAAAAAAACTGGTGGAACGTTCTAGAAAATGAAATTTTACCTGAATTATCGTTTTTTGTAAAAACAACCGACAAACAAACAAACGAACAAACAAACGAAACGCGACCTTATAATATTTATGGTTTTTTTAAAAATTGTCGGATTAAAAAAAATTTTTTTTTTTTTTTACGGTTTAAATTTATTTATTTATTTTTATGTTTTGTTGTTGTTGTTGTTTGTTGTTGTTGTCAGTTAAAAGGTGAAAGGTCAACAACAACAACATAATGTTTTTTTTTTTTTTAAATTCCACTATGTTTATGATTTTTTATTCATTTAAGTAAATAACTGTTTTTTCCCAAGTCTCGGATTAAAATACGCGTAATAAATTTTCCCGCCTTTTTTTTGAATTTTCCTTCGTGTTTACCATTAAAAAATGTTATAAATTTAAATGTTTTTTTATTAATAATAATAATAATAATAATAAATCAGATGTGCGATGTTATAAATAATACATTATTTATTTTTAAATAAAAAAAATAATAATTTTTTATTCATTTGGTAAATTACAAAAAAAAAAGAATTTTTACTTTTCTTTTATTAATTATTATTATTATTATTATTGTAAGGAAAAAAATTAAATATTTATCTTCTGCTAAAAATAAATTGAAAGGGAGAAGAAAAAGTAATTTTAGTTTTAGTATGTATATATATATATAAAAATATTGATTTGAGGGCGGAAGAAATTACACACACACACACACATATATGGAAAGAATTTTTGGAGATTTAAATGGATGGTTCGAAAAGACACGAAAATCCGGATTCGAATCTTTAAATTTATCTATCTATCTCTCTCACTCTTTCACTTTCTTTCTCTCTCTCTTTCTCTCTATTTCATTCACTCATTGGGTTTTTAACTATTTTCATTCCTTTTCTCGTTTTGAAATTATTCTAGATTTTGTGTAGGCGACAAACCGGCGACAAATTCACTCTCACACACAATGTAAACAATGAAATCGTGAGGGGTCGAAAAGGGGGGCGGATAGCAGTGGGGGGAGGTGGTTGGACAATAACGAAGGGAATAAGGGTTTGAAGCACCTTTTTTTTTGGCTTAAATCGCAAAAGATCTTTTTTTTTTTAAGCTTAAGATGGAAAAAGTTTAAGACTTTTATCAAAGAATCTTTTTTTTTTTTGCTGAGTGTCGCCATCGTCATTTCATCTATTGACAAATTAAATGCTGACAGCGACGGTTTTTTTTTTTTTATTCTTTTGTACAAATTCAATTTTTCATTTGTTTGTTTGTTTGTTTGTTTGTTTTTTTGTGAAATTTATCCTTGAGAAATTTAATTTTTTTTTTTTTTTAAATTTCCCGCATACGGTACTGATTATGCGTTTTACCGCAAACGAATATCGTTTTATTCATAAGTTAAACGTGTGGGGGGTTGGAAAGGGGAGAGGAAAAAAAAATTTGAATAAATCCCAGCTCGCGTGATGTGTGCATTAAAAAAACTGAAAACTAATGCAGTAGAATAAATCGGAAATTGAAATTTGCGCGCCAAATTTTAAAAATAAAAAAAGGAAATGAAAAATGAGTCGTTAAAAAAAAAAAAAAATTTGAGAATTAGCGGAAGTGATTTATGAATGAGAAAAAAAAAATCGAACAGTACCTGTTTTTCCTTTTTTTTCCTTTTTTCTCTCTTCCTAAATGGTGGAGGGCTGGAGGGGATGAAAAACACGTTTTTTTCATCATTCATTAATATTTTCAAATTGATTAATGATCTCATTCGTTTGTTTGTTTGTTTTTTTTTCTTCTTCCAGAAATCCAAATCAAACATGACTCAACTCACATTACTAAGTGTAGATCCATCCCTCTCTGGAGTTTATAATTGTGAAGTTTCTGCAGAATCTCCATCTTTTCACACGGAATTAAAATCTGGAGAAATGAACGTTGTCGGTAAGTTAAAAAAAAAACAAAAAACTGGAAAAAATTTTTTTGTTCCAGCAAAAAAAAAAACAACTTATTAATATTCAAAAACGGAAACTTATTATTATTATTATTATTATTATTATTAAACGCTTTTTCTGTTGTTTTTTGATCATTTTAAAAATAATTTTTCCAGCAAAAAAAAAAGTTTTCACAAAAAATGATGAATTAAATAAAATTAAAAAAAAAAAAAAAAAATTTTTTTTTTGTTGTTTGTTAATTTCGATCCGTTCCAGTTTTTTTTTGTCTTATTATTATTATTTTATCTTTTTTTTTTCTTTCCAGTTATACTTAATGTATAAATATTTGTATATTCTCAAAAGTGCTTTTTGTTTACTTTTACAAAATTAACTTTCCAGAAAACGACAAAAAAAAAAAATTCTTTTTTCCTTTTTTTTTTTTTAATGACAATTTTTTATCGTAACAATTATATTATTATCATTATTATCGTTAAGTAAGATAAAGTATACGTAAAGTGAAGAAAGGAATGAAATTACAAACGGTGTAATAGAGGAAAATAGAAAAAGGATTAAAGTTTTTTTTTTTTTTTTTTGGAGAAAAAAAAGAAAAAATGGCGCCCCTTAAAATTTCTCCGAAAAAAACGTGATTTAAATGAGGTCGAACGATTCCAGCCACAAAATTTTCATTTAAATGTTTTGGAGATGGAAAAGAATAAAAAGAAAGATCTTCTTATATGCGATTGAGATTCTTTTTTTCAATTTATCAAGTTTCCTTTTTTTCCTTTTTGTTTATTTCCTTCCATTTTTTTCCACCTTTTCCAAAAAAAAAAAATACGTTTAAAAGTAAATGAAAATTTATATATACGTTCGTTTTGAGATTTCCGACGTTCGGTTTTCAATTAACGGATTTGCTTTTTCAACTAATTACGTTCGATGATCCAATTAACAATAAAATATAAAATCCGGATCATTTTTCCCATTTTCTCTCTCTCTTTCTCTCTCTTCGGTCCCCCATACAAAACCATTTTCAATAATATCTTCCTCTTATCAGAATCGACCCTAATAAAATGATTGGCCGCAAATGTAAATCTGTACGGTGATAAAGGCCTAAGGTTTAAACGATTTTTCTCCAGGAAAAAAAAAAATTTACTGGAGCAATTATATCAGCGGATTTGAAAAATGTTTGCTGGTGCTGTTGTGTCCAAAAGAATAATTTTTTCATTTAAAAAAAAAACAAGATTTCGATTCTTTTTGTTTTTCCAGCAGCAGCAGAAACAGTAAATTTTTTTTTTTTTACTAAATCCCGATTAAACTTTTCAATTTGTATAATTTTTTTTTCACTGCGGCGATTATTCTTTTCCTCCTTCCATACTGCTCCTTCACCCCTTCTCCCACCTCTTCGCCCCCCGTTCCATCTTCTTCCTCCTCCCCCTTCCCTTCCCTACGTATTTTTCTTTTTCCAGTTTCAATTTTTACTTCAACTTTTTCCAATCTTTTAAAAAAAAAAATTTATATGCATACGTTTATTTATATTTATTGCACTATTATCATTATTATTATTATTCAATACGTTTAAATAAATTTATGTACATGAAAACATTAATAAATATTTATAAAATAACTTATGTTTTCTTTTTTTATTAAAAAAGGGAAAAAAAACAAAAAGTTATAACGTAGTATATAAAGTCAGACAAACTTTCTTTCGATTTATTATTATTATTATTATTATTATTATTATTATTATTATTATTATTATTATATTTAAACAAAGTTATTAATACTTTTGATCAATGTTTTACCAAGTTATTAAATAAATTTGTCACATTTTATTATTTATCCGACATTTTTATTATTTAATAAATATACTTTAATAAATAACGATGATGATGATAATGGATTGGAAAAAAAAAAAAAAACGATTTTGATAGTCTTCAGGTAAAAGAAATAAATTTTTTAGCGTCTTAAACCCGTGGTAGGGTCGTTTCCTCATTGGTGAGGAGAAGGGGGAAGGGGAGGAAAGGGAGAGAGAAGGTTTTAAATCATTCTTTCACTTATTCGTTAAAAGAAGAAATAGTAAAAATGAAGGATATTCAGGTCGCGAGATTTATTCCACGAAAAAATATTTAATCACGTTTTGTTAAAGAGGACCTAGCGCTCGGAAAGATTCGGTTCCCACAGGAGTACCTAAGAGTACCTAAACCTTGATTGATTCCTTACAATGCTCAAAAGAGACAATTTCAAAATGGCTGGAATTAATGGGAAAAAACCCAACTAATCCAACTTAATCTAATCCAAAGAAAACGATTTCCGTTTAGTTTTTGCGATATTCGGCATTAATAAAACTTTTCAAAATTTTAGTTATTATTATTATTATTATCATTATTATTATTGTGGTTAAAAATAATATTTAACGCGTTTAAAAGTAACACATTTTTTTTTTTTTTTAAATATAATAAATAAAAACAGTCTGGACATTTGAAATTTCGTATATTTTTTTATTTTATTTATTTTTCGATCCGATGATCGAAATAATTTCCGGTTTTTTGACTCCTCCCATTTTGGCAACTTTTTTTTTTCTTAAATTTTGTTTATAAGCATTCTTCTTTTTTTTTCTTTTTTTTGTATTTGGCATTTAAATATATTTTATTTATCCTTTTTCAATGTTTAATCCAAATTATTTCTTACCACGATATCCGGTTTCGCGAAATGATTTAAATTTTCTTAGAAAAAAAAAATAATCAGGATATAATTATATTACCATTTCTTATTTGAATCACTTCCGGTTTTTATAAATAATTTTTCAAACGAATATATAAGAGATATTATTTCATATAATATTTGTCTTTTGCCAAAATATAGGACAACCGGAAATTAATAAAATCCTTTATTTCCTCGATAGTGACCACAATAGTATATAGTAAAATTTTATTTTTATCACATTCGAAAAAATCTTATATTTTTAATAATAATAATAATAATTTTTTTTGTTCATCGTGATGACTGATTGACTCACTGACTGACTGACTGACAAACCGCAATTTGTAATTTTAAACCGGAAGTCTCGTAGCTCTATTAAAAAAAAAAAAAATTCAAAACGCCTTTCGCCTAAAATTAATTACGGATCGCACACGGATATTATCATCATTCTCATTATTATTATTATTATTATTTTGATTACAGAAATTCCATCCCTAACGCCTATTTTGACGGGATTAAAATCAAAATATGGAGTCGGTGAAATCCTTGAAGGAACTTGCATATCCGGCGGATCGAGGCCAGCAGCAAACCTCACGTGGTTTTTAAACGGAGAAAAGGTAAAGTTATTATCATCATTACTATTATTCTCATCATCATCATCATAATCATTTTTTCGGAAAAATATTGTCTGTCGTTTTACGTAATT